TCTGCAAAGCCCTCTCGCACATGAGGCCACCCGGCTCAGCGCACTGACATCTTGTGTACACCTGGCTCCAGCTGGGGACCGCCTCCACCGGCTTTCTACCAGGGGTGACAGCACAGCCATGAAGGAGACCACCACCTCACAGGAGAGCTCACTGAGGCCAATAATAATAATAAAAAAAAATAATAAAAAGCACCTCCCCGGCTCCCCTTCACCTTTCCTTCCTGCCAATTCTGCTCCTCCAGAAGTCACCGGCTGCTCCGAGCACACCACAAGCTGCTCAGAACCTTTTCTGGCCCCTCTCTGAGTCTTTGGAAAGTACCTGCTGTATCACTGGCAGTTTCTGCAAATAGATCTATACCAAGTCATGTGGCTTTCCTTACTTGGCTTCAGGTCCTTCTGCCAGCACAGCAAATTTGGGCTCCCATCTCAAAGGTGAAGGCAGATGAGATTTGCCCACCCTGTCATAGCAGGAGTTCAGTTATTCTTCAGCAAAGCATAGTACGAGGAAAGAGAAGAAGGGTGCTGTTGCCCCAATGCAAGGATTCTGCAGAGCCTGCACACAGGATGAAGCACTCCTGCAAGACATTGCCCTGTGACAGCTTAAGCCAAACTCTGTCACAATGTCACCCGGCTAATACCCGAGTGAAAGGAGAGCTGCTTACGCCACCGTTGATTCACGACCCCGAAGGGGCACAGCGCGCCGCTGCCTGTGATCAGGAGGGGTAGCTAGCACGTTTTGCCTCAATGTGCCACCTCCCAACCCAACGGGAGGAAACTTGCTGTTTCATTACTGCCTATTAGTAACGATGAGCACTGGGTACAGTGAGTTTTTCACCTTTGTGCTGCATTGCAAGCATTAATATTGGCGAGACTCCTATCTGATAATGGCAGTCCATTTACCAGCCCTGTTTGATACGTGTGGGAACCGATGAAGAAAGGTGAAGCGACACATGCAATGCTCCCAACCAAAGATCTCTTTGAACCCAGGAGCTCTGGCTGGCTGGAACTAGACTCTGCTCACCAAAATCCATCCAGATACAGCACCCAATAGATGATGCTGCCATGGCCCGTACCCTCCCCTCCTTTCCGTGCCCCAACTCATTTCTGACAGTTTCCCTCATCTAAAAATAGATATTTCCCTGACACACATATACCTGGTTGGGATTTTCTTTGTTTGATTTTTTTTTTTTTTTTGTAACTCCCTGTGTCTGAGAAACAAGGTTTCCAGCACAGATGCTGCAGAGCCCAGAGGATTTCAGGGTTGTTCCTCAAGCCTCTGTTATTAGTGAGATTTGGGAGGCTGGCCCGTATCACATTATGCTGAGAATACAAAGCTAGAAATGAAAGAGGAAAGAGCAGCTTGTCTGAGAGGCCTTTCATTCAAAAGGGAGGAGTGAGCCACGGTGAACATCAGCGATGCAAAATACCGAGGCCACCAATTAGCCCGTGCATGGGGAGAGGGGCGAGCAGAGCAGGCAGGACCACAGTGCAGTGCACCAGCAGGTGCATTCCCAACAGCCCTAAAAGAAGAGAGCTCCTGAGTCAAACACAGCCTAATGACCATTATTTCCAAGAACACAAGTAACTTATCTGTAAACATCACTCCCCCAACCAGGCATTAGCTGGAAAAAAAAGCCGCTTTGGAGAGAGAGACTAATTACATAGCTCTCAACAGCTGGACTTTGATCATAATTACAGTGCCTTCTTCATCTTACGTTAGTGGCTTTCAACTGCAGCTAGGTGGGCACTTCTTGGAAGGTGGAAATCCCGCCCGTTTCAGAAAGTTAGCTCATTTTATGACTCAGAGCTAGCCTGGCTTTTCTGCAGCACAGGATGAGCTCCCACGGTACCATCCAAACAAGTAATTCAAGGGGGTCAGCATCTTGGCACTTCAACGCAGGTGCTTCTGATTTTGCAGCGGCACCTTCCTTGGCCCAGAAGCCAGAGCACAGAGCCTGCTTTATCACCGATTTCAAGCATTTCATGCAAATCCCTTTACACGGGAAGCAGAAGTAGAAAGAATTTGAGGTTTTTGCTCAACTCCACTATAGCTGAATTCTAGCATCTCTTAGCTCTTTCTGTTTAAGCAGAAAGATGAGCACACTCAGGATATACCTTTCCAACCTCACTTCAGACATTCACATGCTACATTTGCATCCTTCTCTTCTGCACGGGGATGTATGTCCCTGGCAGTGCTCGGTGCCTCTCCAGCGCTGAACTCCAGTACCCACAGCGACGAGTGGGGTTGTGGAGGAGGAGACTGCCGTCCTGCATCCCAGCTGAGTTATCTGTATTTGTGCGTCATGCAGGGGGTGCTTTGCTTTGATACCCACATTTACAAAGAAATAAATAGGCTAAACAAGAGAGCTGGGCTGGTGAGACAGAGACTCAGAGACAGAGACAGATCACACACGGCACCGGCAACCTGGGCACCCAGATATTTTTCCCTCATCTGTGGCACTGAATTACTGCGTTGTTTGGATATACCATAGCAGCAGCAGCACATAGTTTCACTGCTGTGAAATGACAGGCAGTAAGTACACAAGCATTATAATGGCACATTAGTTAACGCTTCTAAGCGTGATTGGTGTTCACCTCTTGACAGAGGAAATATTTTAGCTGGCTCTCACGCTGCCTGCCTGCCGGACACCCCCAAAGTAAAGAGATTAATAGATGAAGCAACGGCAGAGGGTAAATCTAAACCACAAATCTTAGAGTTAACTGGGATTTATAACTGCTTCCCCCTCCACGCTAACCTACCGGGAAATCTGTGTGACACTCCCCCCCGCCCCTCCCCAGCCCATTTTAACAGGGTTTCAAACTTTTTACTGTTGTTATCTTGCCAGCATGCCTCAGCTCAACATCATCAGTTTGCTGTTTAGATTATTACTAGATGTAATTTTCAAGTTGCAAAGAAGCACACTGGTATTAGCTAAATAAAGCACTTTGACCACATCAAAGCAAAAGTGTTTCAAACTGTGTAAAATAAATGCAATTATGAAACTATTCAATTTTGTTAAATCAGTCAGACGAATGTCACCCAGCACATCATGAATATACAACCGACGGAGCTTAAAGCTGAAGAACATCTATGTCTTCAGTGTGAGAAAAGTATCTCTGGGAGCAGCTTGCAGCTGATTTTGACCTGTGGCAGAGCACTGCCACTAATAACTGGACAAATGCCACTCTCAGCTCATGTAAACAGACATGCATAACAGCTGAGACACGTTATTACTCTAAACTACGTCTCGATCAGGTTTTATGACTGAGGGGTGTCACAAACTCTATCTGTCCCAAGCTGTCCTGAGGCTTCCCACACCACAATGGTCACTTAAAAACTCATCCCGCTGCCCAGGCATGCAGTGAGGAGCAGCATTTCTGGAGAAAGGCCTGACTTGCTGGAGGATGCAGTTTTGAAGGGGAGAAAGGTACATTTTACAAGTTCAGAATGCAGCCAAGGGAATTTCTTTTCTTTAATTCCTGCTCCAGCAGCCTTTTTTTTTTTTTTTTTTTTTGTCTGAGTCACAGCACCAATTTTATGAACCTGTTCTTTGACACGGAGTGGGATGTGACTGGAAGGAGTTCACAGGGACTGGGAAGTTGTCCCAGAGCTCAGCTACACTCCCAGTGCATCTTTATGTTTTCCAATTGTATTATTTATTCATATATGAACCCACCTTCCCACGTAGGCACTGCTCTCGTATTGCTCTTCTCCCGGACGCACGCACATCCCCGCCGGGGAGCGGGGCTGCTTGTGCCCGGCCAGCCCCAGGGCTGGTGTTGTGGAAGGTCTCGCCTTGGGAAACCAATACCCCCGGCTTCGTTCCACATTCCTCTGCCACGGCAGCGCGGCCAAGGACCGTGCGCTATTTCCCAGCTCCCCTCCTCTCCTTCCCCTCTGCTGGCCCCAAAAGCAGCCCCTCCTCGCTGCCAGGTCCCCAGGACTGTGGCACCGAGCACCCAGCAGATTAAGGGGGGAAAGAACACCCCACAAACATTGCAACAGATCATAAAGGGAGGGAAGAAGAGATCACAAAGCTGCGTGTAATGCCATGAGCTGTGTGACGGTGGCCAAGCCCTTTCTTCAGCGGACAGCTATGCAACACAAGCAGCCTTCCCCAGCACCCTGCCGAGGATGCAGAGTTAATAGTTAACCCTTCTGGGGATCGAATGCCTTGGTGAGACACCGGCCAGGGCTTTGTCAAAACGCAGCCAGAAACTAGCCTTAAAGTAGCTCGACAAGTGACTGCGCTCCGAGGATTTCACCTCGCCGAACTTTACGACTGGAAAAATACCATCTACATGTCATTTACATGCTTAAATATAGTATCTTCTATTGGGAGAAACAAACAAACTGACAATGTGATACTGTGATACCTCGTGCGGGCATGCTCTTTTATCTGCTGGAAAGTTATAAAACTCAGCGTAACAACAAAGCTAAAATAAGAGTGGTTGTCAGGCTCTGAGCTTGGCTGTTAGACAGAATGAAAAAATATTCTTGGAAAAGTGCTCTCTGTTAGAAGACAGTTTTTTCTTCTTTGAATCTTGTAAATAATTTATTTATCCTTTAAATTCCAAAATCTCAGAGCTTAATTGTTAAGCTCATATTCTTTCCAGGAGCTTTTTCAGTTAAAAGAGCAAATAAACACACTATAGATATAGAAAGCTAAAGTAGTTCTTGCACTGCCCAAAGCACAGAGTAACCTTCTGCTCAAAACACAGGAAAAGATACTATCAGCTTTCGTGTTATTTATCATATATTTTTTTCTCTAATGCCAAAGAGGAAAAGGGACATATCTTAAACGGATGCCTATAATTAAACAGTAACCTGTTAGAAAGCCAAAAATAATAATAAGCTCCACTGAGCGTGAAGAGAGCGGCACATTTTTTCCGCGTGCAGCCCAGCTGCCACCGGACGATAGCAGAAAAGTTAACAATTACACAAGACACTCAGATCAAACCTGCGATAGGAGAGAGTTACGTCACACTCATAGACTCACCGCTGGATGCAGGGATCGGGGTAGTACTGCAAGGTGGTGAAAGGTGCCGGTTCAAAATTCATTTCCTTCGAGCCCCTCTTTGGGTACGAACCAAAATAAAACAAATAAATAGAAATAAAGCCAGCAGGCTAAAAGCAATAAGGTCAAGTGGTACACGAGGTACAACTTTAGAGATTTATTTTACACTTGCGAATGGGTGGGATCTCCCAGGGACTTGGCCAATGGGATTCATCAAGTGACCTGAGCATCACCACCAGTCCCTCCTCGCCAGCTGGGCATCTTCTGCATGGATATTTTCCCCTCCTCTCAACATCCTTAATAAACTTTGGTGTACGTCGGCCACACTTGTTGGGAGCTCATCTGGGGCATCTCTGAACTTCTGATCTCGTCGGTCATTGGTTGCCTTCCCGCCTGACTTCACAGTTTAATTTTGGCAGCTCTTGCAATTTTGTGAACTGCTGTGGCCGCTGGTCATCCGCGTCTCCAGATGGCCGGAGTTTCCTCGCTGGGTGCAGCGCCCGTGCTGAATTTCATCGTACTTTAAAAGCTTTCCTTGTCAACTCTGCGGCTAATACCTGCGTACAGTTGCCTGGGGAAATTTTCAGTCTCTCTCGGGCCACAGCTCAAACAGTCTGTTGTGGTCACAGTTTCAAAAGCTGAATGACAAAATATGGGGAAATTCCTCAATTAAAATTAACTCTGAACTTTTGCTCCTCTACCTCCCCTTCCTGCCTTCCTCCCCCCAAGAAAGCTATCAGACGTAATTGTTAATATTTCCCTCTGTATCTTTTCACCTTTTTCTCAATAAGAATTGAGATGATATAGAAATCTGCCATTGTTTTAGTGTTCTGTAAATAATATATACATTTTCTCATGAAAAACAACAATAGTTTCAAATATCTCAAGAAGAAAAGAAAAGTAAGAAAAAAGAAAATAAAAGTCATATTTTTCAGACCACTAAAGCCTAAAGAAGCAAGAGTGAAGTCCACCAAAACAAACTACCAAGGATGAAAAGCAGATTTGATTTGATGATCTTAAAGGTCTTTTCCAACCTAAATGATTCTATGATTTTCCTGAAGGAAAATAAAAGGCAAGCAGGAAGACTTTAATTCCACCCCCTCCCCCCTTTTTTTTTAATTCACACAGAAAATCATTCAGGAAAGCAACCTGGTTTGTTCCCCTGTTTTTCCCCCTCCATAGCTCATCAAGTAGTACAGGCTGTAAACCTATCCTGGTTTTGTGGTTTTGGAGAATGAATGAAATATGAATCAGGAGCTAAATTAAAATGGATTCCAGCAGGAAAAAATAGCGTCCGTGTATCTATGCACCAGTGGGATTGCATCTTCAAGCAGACGTATACGTTTGTGTATACAAAGAGAGGGGAAGGGACTGCCCTATAGCTGACCTACAGTGCATCTTTTGTGCTGGTGTCAGCACAAATGCCAACATCCCAAGCGAAAGCCAAGAGCCCTCTGAAACAGCAGCGATTGCCTCTTATTTTTCCCCTCTATGTTTTCCTTGTAGGAAATTTTGGTTCGAAGAATGTCATGTGGAAACATTTTCTTTGCAGCCTGTGCCAGGGTGGCAGGGGAGCTATTTCAGACTTGACATTCTCCACCCACCCTCAGCCTGATAGTTCCTAACATCTGTGAATTGTGAATCCTGTAAACTCGCAGGGCTGATCCCTGGCCAAGTCCAAGCAGCCTTCGTTACGATAAGCAGCCTTCGCCAAGGAAGAGAGGCTGGAAGTGAAGGATGTATTTATTAACTGAAGTTAAGGGCTCCCTTGCTGCTGGCCACTGCTTCCTCTGCCAGCCCCATCGAGGAGCAGTAATGAGAAACACCTTTCTTCTCTTCAGCTGAACCCTGGAGTAAACACCAAACCTCATAGGCTGCATTGTTGGGGAAGAAGCGTGGAAATGTCCAAATGAGAGAAGGAATCACACCAAGGCTTGTGGACACACCATGCAGCCCAGGGAGCGTGGCTGCAACACAGCTCCATCCCTTTCTCCTGCCGAGGTCAGGACTGCGCTTACCTCTGTGCGGCCGCCTCTCCTGAGGTGGCAAATACCTCCTGGTAATGGGCAAGGAGAGCCAGGGGCCAGGGCAAACTAGTGGTCCACACCGCTAGCCTGGCTCTGGTCTAGGCTTTGAACATCCACTCTTAACCAAAAACATAGCAGGCAAGTCCTTTGCCTGCATAAGCCATTTGAGCAAGAGCTTGGGTCCATGTTCTCTTGCTCCAGGACTCAGTTGCAACCCAGACCCGTGGGTGTGAGTATGGATAACCAGCCTGGCTGGGGAGGCACCAGACTGTGCTGTGGGTACGCTGCTGGGACCTCGCGCTTGCTCTTAGAGACACACCAGAAGCTTGCTGGGTTTCTTCTACCACGCCTGTGGTGGGACGAGCTGTTACCTCTGCAGGCCTGGCATCGTGATAGAGCAGCCATGCACTTTGTGTGCTCTCCCAACAGCCTGGAAGAGTTTGTCTTTCCTGACGGATTTCAGCCTAAAAGGAATAAGCCTCATGCAAAAGTCACGCTGTGTGAAAGCATCTGTTCTCGTGAAATCCTAGTCTACCTTTTTCTCCACAGGACCTAGAGAAGAGTCTTCCCCAGCATGGCCTGGGTGCCAGGGCCAATGCACTGGGAGTAGTGGAAGGCTGGACAATTCGCACACAGAGACTCAGACCTGCTCTCCTGGTTTTGGCCAGTCTCCTCAACTGGCACGTGCCCAGATAATGCTGTGTGCCCAGGTCACGCATCCCAAGGGCTTTGTGAAGTACAACAGGCAGCTCTTGGAATTGATGTTGCTGGGCTACCTCTGCCTCCAAGGATGAACCTGACCCCTGGTTTCACACTACCATAACTCTGCACAGCACAGTACTCCCTGGAACCTCAGACACGTTAAGTAGAAGTCTGCAACAGCCCAAACTACCAAGCCTGTGATTCCTGCTTTTAGTGCTGAACACGTCTAGCAGCAGCGCAGCCAAGAAGAGGCAGTTAGTCTCCAGCTCGCAATTCACACCAAAAGAGTAAGTTATCCTGAAAAAACCATAATTAATTTAAAAAAGAAGCACCACATAATCGTAATGAGAAGTAGTTGCTTGGGGCAGGGCTCTCTTCTCACTCATAAGGAACCGATGGGAGTGGGTGTCTAGCAAGGACATTTCCATAAAAACTTCAAAAGGGGCCACCAACTGCCCAAGGTCCTCATCAGCCCTCATGCCTGGGGCTGGGCAAATGCAAATGGCTCACAGTTTGGCTCGTTTTGACAGTGCATTCAGCACCTGGGTGCTTTTCCCAGAGAGCTGGACATTTTCAGCCTCCCACAGAGATCTGGACATGTCCTGAAGTAGCTCAGAAAGTCTCTCTTCTGTTTTTCCCATCTGGAAAATGAAGCCATTGAAAAGCCACTGGTGACAGTGCACAAAAACCACCTGCAAAAGCCGGCAAGTCTCCCGATTTCTCTCCCCCAACCCCAGCTTCCTTCCTCCCCCCGCCCCAGCTCGAAGCCAACATTTAGCTGTGGGTTGATTCATCATGGCTTTAGGTAGAGACGTCTACCATTGCAGTTAGACTGCGTCAAACTCCTCTGGGCTGCAAGGCGCTCTTTTGCATAGCACAGTCCACAGTGGAAACACAAGCCACAGGGTGTGTATTGCCAGTACCCCGTACATAGCTGGGAGGCTCTCAAGGATCAGTGGTATTTGGCCAACCCCATTTGCACTGCCTTAAAGAAAATCTACTGGAAGACGGAGCCCAAAACACTGGAGAGCTGAAGATTTCAGAGCGGATCTGAGCGGGTACACAAGGATGAGCAAACCTCATCACGGCAGCCAGGGAGCGCAGGCAGAGGGGAAACTCCTTACACCAGCTGATCTCAAAGGTAGTCTGCTCAAGAGGGGAAAAAAGGGGCTTGCGATATCCTCAGTGCTCCCTACCCTTCCCCTAGGAGGTTTCCTTGCTGGTAAGGAGGGTGATGCTGATCTAACGGCAGCAGGCACGTGTCCTGCAGAAGCAGGGCGGAAGCCGGGGTGTCGGGGATCTGTCTGGCTAGCGGATTTACAGCCGAGCCTCTAGCGCTTGCGGTAAGCAGGCGGCACGGGGATATGCGGAGGAAGCATGTGTGTAGGTGGGCAAGAATGCAGGGCATCGCTCCGCCACTGCTGCTTTCGCGTCTGGGAGAGGAAAAACAGCCAGAGAAACAGCTGTGGACTACTCTCCCATTACCCCTCCGTGCACCGTCTCTACGGCTTCAATTTAAGCTGTCATTGAAACGACCACGAGATTATGTTTTAGCAGAGGCAAACATTTATATCCTCGGGAGGAGACTGCTGGGGATTTATAATGGTCTCCCCACCGCCACCCAAACTCAGTGCCAGGATGCCTGTTGTGTGCTAGTCCCAGCCCTGAAAGGGAGAGGCAGTTTCCTGACATCTCTGCAGCTCCGGTCCTGATCTGTGGGTCTGCGGACCACTGAAGAGCTTGGAGCTAAGGAAGACAGGGAAGGGGAGATGCTAGCTTTGCTCTGAGCCACCTTTGCCACTGCTGGCTTCAGGATTTGCCTGGAATCAGCCCCACCCTTTACACCAGGGGATGAAACGTTTCGTTCACAGCTTGGGGTTTCCAGGGGAGTGGTTGTGGTCGTTTTGTTTTTTTTTTTAAGTTAAAATGAATTTCTTTTAAAAGCAAGAAGTCTGTGGGATATTTGGGGATTTTTTGTTAGAAAAAGTTGAACAGAGGGAAATAATTCCCTCCCACCAGCAATAAGATGTCTTTAGCTATCCAAGGGAACAGAAATACACAATGTCAGCATCCCTTTTAAGCATGTTTTCCAGTTCAAACTAAGTATTACATATGTTTAAAGGTCTCAAAGATATTCAGATTTTATGAGCTTCGTGAACAGAAGCAAACAGAGGAAGGACAACTCTTCAGTAACTCCAATGAAAGGAAAGAAGCAACAGGATTATGACCCTCACAGGATCTACCCGAATGCTGCAATGGTGGAAAAAGCTTCCACAACAATTCATGTTTTGCCTCCAGCCATCCAGGAGCTCTGA